CCCTAGATACCAGAGCACAAGAGAATGAGGCATAAGAAGACTAGAAAGGTAAGAAGGGAGCCACAATATAAAAGGCTTAAAAAGCTAAACAGAATATTTTATATTTGATACTGGTGATGATAGGGAACCAGTGGAATTTACTGAATAGAAGAGTTAAAGAGTGGGACTATGCTGAAAACAACATTTGAGTGCACTGAGGAGATTTATTCTCAAAGTATTTGAAAGCAAAGAGGACAGATACCAAAGGTATGGGGAAAAAATCTTAGCCTTTATTATTACCCCCAAAAAACAAATGAGAGACCATCAGGAACTAATAACCCAACATGCCTGTTTCCCCATCACTGTAAACTTCTATGAGCACAAACTACACAAGAATTGGGGAGCATCTTTGGTGAAAGTATGGCAAGGGAATAGCAAGCTTTTGAAAATGATATTCTATCTTTATAGTCATACAACTGAAAGGTGTAGAAAATATATTGTTTATGGACTATAAAAGGGCATTTCATTCAGTAGAGCAAAATGCCATTGCAGAGGCTCTCCTCCAAAAAAATTTCTCCTGTGCCTGTGTTTCTATCATACAAAGAATACCTTGAAAAAAATAATGAAAATAATTCGATTAAGTTAATCCCTGATTATTAATCAGGAGACATAAAAAAAAGAGTTTTCTGCTTATAAAAGGTGCTTGCCACTGTGATCGAGGCTATTCAGGTCAGAATCCAAATAAAAGGGAACTTCTTACAGATGGCATGGTCCTCCAGAGGTTTCTGTCTGAACATGACACTAAGATATCTGCATCAAGCACTAGAACACTTCAGAGACACCAGACTGAAGGCTATAATCACTCCAAAAAGAGTTTGGCCAAACTATCCATATAGGAAAAAAACAAATGCATATAGAATGTTTATTGCCCAGACTCTGATATGGAGTCAGATGGACAAACTAAAAAGACAAGTCATCAGTACCTGAACAGATACTACAAATGGACAAAATAATCTGGCTAATTATTAAACCAATTGAAAGTAAGCTAGGAGAATTATGGGAATTGCAATTCTTTTAATGACTCCAAATATCTCCTTGAAGCTTATACTAACATTCTTCTGGTGATGATGCCACATTACTGTGAGTCATAGAATACCAAAGTCTTTGGAAAAACCCAAAAAGCAATGGAGAGGAGCATGGTGAATATGAGTGGGCTTCAGTCAATGTATCACAAATGAGGAATTAAGAATTTGTTTTTTGGAGGGAGGTCCCTCACCTATGATTTTATTTGTGAGGAAACTCCTCTCATCAATGTAAATCATCAACTTCTCTGTAAGTTATGGTCTTGAGTTTTCTGAGAGCTTTTCTGAGAAATTGGTCAGGAAATATGTGTAGAAGCAGGACTTGAACCCTGATATTTCTCCACCAAAGCTGGCCCCCTAACCACCAATCCATCCAAACTTTTTATGAAAAGGGTACAATAAGAGAAACACATGACTAGAAATCAATGGTCAAGCTGGTAGCAAGTGTCAAGGACGACTAGCAGATAGCTTTGGAAGCTTTAAGAGATCCTGAGGGCCCCAAGTACATCTGGCAGACCCCCTGTAAAGGGACGGCGTATACAACAGTCACACAGGACAGCCAGCAATCTGTATCACAAGAGAGACCCCTCGCAACAATGAGATCACAGATCCACTGAAGCACTGAATTATAGTTATTTTATATTTATGTCATAAATTTTACCTCATAAATGTATCCCAACCTTACCCACTTGCTAAGATGGTGCTTTATATACTAAATAACACAGTATGCACTTAATAAATATTTCCCGAATTAACCTGAGAGACGAATCTGAGAATCGGTGTCATGGGCAGAGAGCTGTCTCAGGAGTCAACAAGATCCAAGTTCAAGTTTTTCCACTAAGTGTGGTCCAGGCCTGAGGGATGGCTGGCATGAAAGGAGGTAGAGTATAAGCCTACAATATACTAGAAATACACCTTGACTGGAACATAATGAGAGCTAAGATAGGAAAAGAAGCCTGGAGCCACACTGGCCTTAAATGTCAGTCTAAAATGTTTCCATTTTATCCTACAGAACAGTCTTCAAAGCGGCACCTGTCAGCATGACCACAAGGATGCATGATGAGCCAATCAGAGAGGCAGATGATGAGTCACCTCCCACCTTCTCTGATAGCCAAATGTGGGACTCTTCTCAAACACAACCACAGTCCCCAACTCTGTCTTGTGGCCTAGCTCTGCAAGTTCCTATCCTGTCCCTTTATACCCCACCAAAGGCCCTCAGGGCAGTTATAACCAAACCTTGACCTGCTGTCAGCAGTTATGTAGGTAGGTGCTCTTGGAAAATTCTCCCTTCTTTGTCCTCAGTGTATTCCTATCCTGCCCTCTTCTTCCCCCATCACCTTATGGCTGTAGCAAGTGTTCCTCATCTAGTTATGCAGCCCTAGGCTAGGTCTGAGTTTAAGTTTCATAACATATATATTTGTACAAGAGTACATGTATATAACACAAATAAATTGGGAGACCACTGCTACAGACAAGAGGTAAATAATATAGGATTTCTTTCTTTCTTTCTTTTTTTTCAAGGTAAATTGGGGTTAAATGATTTGCCCAGGGTCACACAGCTAGTAAGTGTCAAGTGTTTGGTCTGACGCTGGATTTAAACTCAGGTCCTCCTGATTTCAGGGCTGGTGCTGTATCTGCTGTGCCACCTAGCTGCCCCTAGGATTTCTGAGAAGACAAGTACAGGGGGAAGCTAGGTGGCACAGTGGATAGCGCACCAGCCCTGGATTCAGGAGGACCTGAGTTCAAATCCAGCCTCAGACACAAAACACTTACTAGTTGTGTGACCCTGGGCAAGTCACGTATCCCCAGTTTGCCTTAAAAAAAAAAGACAAGTAATATATATTCCCAAGCATTAGGAAAATTATGTTGACAACTTTGCAAAAGATAAATCACAGGACACAGACTAAAGGCAGGGATCTCAGGAAGCTATTACAGTAGTTGTTTAAGTAAGAAGTGATATGTGGAAAAAGAAAAGAAGTAATATGTGTGTAAGACAGGTGCCTTGGGGAAATAACAGATACTCACATAAGGTTTGCTAAATAAACTATCTCTATTGCCATGCATGGATGATCAATTTTCAAATAATTAGAAACTGAAAAAAAAACAACTAAAAGGTAAGGAACTTGTTCACTTTGACTCTCTTTTCCATCCTTGCTCAAATATCTGAAGAAGATAATTTATACTTAAGACTGTGACCAAAGGTTTCTGTGCCCAGAAACTCTCAGACTGGGGGGCAATTTCCTTGTCATTTATGACTTTCACGAAAACAGCAAAGGTTCTACAAGTTGTTCCAGGATTCCAGCTAGCTCTATTTGCCTCTGATGTTTCTATCCCTTCCCATCTAGACACTGGTCCTTATTCTTCATCCATAGTAAACTTTCAATTGTATCCAACTTTGTTTTTTGTTTCACGTCTTTAACTGGAAAACAGTAACGGATGATATTTTTTAAAAGGCAATCAAAATAACATCAACGAATAAGCTATATACCTAATTTCTCATCTTAATAAAATATTTATGAGACTGATCGATATACATATTGATGAAAAACTCAGCAAGAAACAGACATGCTTCCAAAAAACCATATCTTTGGTCATATAAATGACTGAAAGGTACAGAGAATAAAAGATGCTGAGGTTTACTCTTTGTTGGTTTTAAAAATAGTATGACCTTGAAGTGAAGGCTTTTTTCTAAGAAGGTATGTCCCACACATGTTAAACATCACACAAAATATCCTGACAGATACACTCACAAGCACACTTTTGCTTAAGAATTCTCTAACTACCAACATCAAGCTTGCCTCTGTCATGGTACACATCTTTCTATAGAGTTCAAATGAAGGATTCCCTATAGATGGTCAAGTTCTCTATTTTGTCTTGTTAACAAATGATTTTTTGTTGATTTCATCAAGCCACAGAGTACTGCAAGGTATCCCTGATGAAAGCCACAACTACTATCATTCTTCACAGGAAAAAAACAAAGGGAAAAAGAATGCCTAATTTCCAGATTATGATATGCAGCTGGATGGGAAGGCCAATTAGTTAGTCTATTAGTAGATAATCTTAGGCATTCCAGATGAATGATAAGCTAGACCAAGAAATTAATAGACTGAAATATATCTGAGTAACTGTGCAGTGCTTTGAATCATTTCAAGCTGCTCCCTGACACATAAGTCGAATATATTAGTATTTTCCTAGTAAAATTATATGGCTGGAAATCATTCAGCAATACAGCTTATCAAGAATCACAATTATGGGCAGCCTAAAACATAATACAGAGAGGCAGGAGGGAATTAAGTAGCCTGTATCATATTACCAAAGACGACTGACATGCAACAAGAGATGCAGAAGGTATTCAGGAAATATATGATAATTTCTCATATGGATAGAGAGAGTACTTCATTCACACCAATAAGATCACAGATCCACTGAAATGTTATTTGTGAGAAATAAGAAGTAACATATCCACTTGACATTAATGTTACAATGACCATAATCTGGACTTTGCTGATTCAGAAGCCTTCTAAAATTTTGTAGTACTCTCAAGGTCATCATTTGGAACATAAATTTTCATTGTACTCTAGGCATGTGAAAGTGCTATTTGTGATCTGTCTGGTTGATAGTAGCTTGCTTACAGTATCTTTTATACAGCAGTTTATTTAGAGAACCCAATTAACCTTAAATGCACATAATGAAAAATTATTTCTCTCTCACAATTGTTGATCATAGCAAAATCAGCTATATGTGTTCATTTATATTTTACAGTTCTTTAAACGGTACTTATAGAACTTCCAAAGAATAATTTTTAACCTGATGTTTCAACTGTGTTTATATTACAAATATTTGCAGCTTTATAATTTTTCATATGATAATAACAACAATGTTTTCTAAAGAGCTTCACTATTACCAATTAATTTCCTTCCACAAACTACTATTACTTACCCTGAGCAAATCATCTATACGACCTTCTTTCTTTTCCAGGTCCTGGTTTTTATTATTTTCTAGTGCTGCTAATTTCAGCATTGTGAGATCAGTCTAAACAAAAGAAAACTGTTTTATCTTCTGCATCATATGGCCTATACATCTAATAATAAAATAGAATGTAAAAGGAAAAAAAACCTGAAAAACTACCACTCAATGTCATCTTTAAAAAAATTGCATTAATGCTAACTATATTCCAGTTAACCAAGCTAAGCTCATACCAATAAGATCACAGATCCATTGAAATAATATTATTTATTAGAAACAGGAAGAAGTAATATTAAATCTAGAGATCTCACAAAGATGACACCATTAATACCCACTCGAGAAGAGGATGAAGTTCGCTAACAAAAAGATTCCACATAGTGTAGCCCATTTAGCTTTCTTGAGTCACAATGTTATTTGTAAATACATTTTTGAAACAAACAGAAGCTAATGCAATTGTTTCTGAGGACAGAAGAAACTGATAAGATTACAATTTACCTGAATAATTTTAAAAGATAACTGCTTTGGTTGTGTAATAGGGTGGTCCCCAAAAGCTAATGCAGTAGGAGAAGGGCTATTCGGCCGAACCTAAAATACATATTTAAAAAATTACATCATTAGGAAAAAAAGTTAAGGTCCTTTATAGCAACGTCGATCACTTAGAAGAAATACCTGCATTTTCTAATAGTCTTATGACCTCTCCCCAGCTCAGAATTCCAAGAAATTATTTTAAATAATTGTTAAAACATAGCCAAAAGAAATTGTGTCTAAACAAACATTTTAAAAATGTCAAAAAAGAATTATAGTGGCTCAAAAAGTAAATGTGATTTCTCATAGAAGTCTTGAGCTGCAACATAATGTGAATGATTAATTCTATGGATCTATTGTACATTCATTTAAAAATCAACAGTATAGTTTCCTTGATCAGAAAAGTCACAACATAAAATTTAATGGGTACTATTATTTGTACAGAGAAGCAAAATGTTTAAAAATCACAACTGGAAGGAAAGTAAAATCTCAAAGACTTTGAAAATCCAATCCTTTTTACTATCCAAATGGGGAAAGGAGGTGGGAAATTATCCAAGTTGACAGCAATAAAACCTATCTTTAAATATCCCCAGAAACAAAAATTTGCCCAATCTCTCCCTAATCTTACTGACAAGAAAGATGGAATTCAGAATTCAATCTTACCATTATGAATTTATTCCAAGCTTATTTTAGCCCTTATGTACCCAAGAACACCTAACTTACAGAAATATTAGTTTTGAATACAATTATGTTATTTTATTAAATGTTTTATTTTCACGGGACAAGTTTTGCTGTCATAAAGCTATATGATACATAATGATCATTAGATCTTTAAAAAGAATGCTAATCTATTTACATAACTGACAACTTTTAATTTAGATGAAGGAGTCTATATGGATGTTACAAATTGTACCAATGCATAAAAGTTATTTAGTTTTAAAACCTTTTGAATTAGGCTAAGCATGACAAATCCACAGGTAAAACTTACACAAGAGGAAGGAGTGGAATGTGAATGTGAATTCTGAGGCGATCGTATTGCAGGAGGTATTCCCCTTACTGGACTAGAGCCATTTCCACCTTGATACTGAGGAGAAAAAAAAACAGGAATCAAAAATGCCTTGGGAAGACCCTTTGAGATAAAGTCTTAATTATTTTTAGATTAGATATGATACTAACATAAATAGATCCAGTTTACAATGCAGAAGGAAATCATAATTAATATATTTCTAGTCAGTTCCTAAAAGGCTGAAAAATAGGAAAATTTCTAAGAAAAAATGTAAAAGGATCTCTTCCCTACCTCAAAAATACTACTTTTATACAGTAATCATTCCCTTATTCATTATTAAAATTATCTTAACATAGGATAACTTCCCAAGCTAAGTAGGATTAATGATATCAGTACTCTGCTGAAAATGAGGCTGGTCATCCTCTAATTGAATGCCAAGGGTTTTGTTTTAAAGGCAGAAAAACTTACTTGAAAAATATGATCATATACTTATTCTGAGTGTTTTCCACACAGCTTACTGCCAAAGTGAAGACTCCAAAATCATGCTCTACACTCCCAAGTAAATGGACATGATACTACGCAAAAGTACCGAACAGACCTGGCTTACTTAAGAGTATGTACTCTTAACAGCATATAAACCTAAGTGTCACATGATACAGTTTTTCTTCATATTTAAGCAGTTACAACCTCAAGGACTCCTGTCTCTTTCTGCTCACTTTGCTCCTTTCTCCACTGCTCTCAGCAATGAATAGTCTCAGCTTGTTGCCTTTTCTCTGGGCTGCCACTAGATTCCTCTCCAAATAATACATACTACTCACATCACTGCCCTAACAATCAAGTAAGCAAGCAGTGAGTGGACAGTAGAAAAGAAGTGATTTACTAGAAGATTTCTTTAAACCCTTTTCTAAACATCCTGCGTATAGAAGAGGATCAATGAGACTGTTCATTCAGTGAATAATATTAAGCTAAAGTATCAAATGTGATGTAGTAGAAAAAGGACTGAATTTAGTCAGGATAGACCTGGACTCAACTCCCACGTGCACACATGGGCAAGTCAACTAACCTTCTGAGCCTCAGTTTCTCTCTCTCTCTCTCTCTCTCTCTCTCTCTCTCTCTCTCTCTCTCTCAAGAAAAGAGCACAAGACAATTTACCCTCTACATGGCGATGACATTCAATTCAACAAGTGATGACATTAAAATTCAAAATTTACAAACCACCCACTATGGGTAGGTGTTGGATAATGAGATCATGAATATGAAGGAGAATGCATGTAAAGCACTTTGTAAACATGAAAGCACAATATACAAGGCAGTCATGCCTTGGTTGTCGAAAGTATTTCTTTAGGGACTTGTAATTTTCTTCTATGATTTTCTTCTCCACAAATCAAGATCTCAATTGTTCTACAACTATACAGATGGTCTTCAAATGTTACCATGGCCCAAAAATTCATTAACCCAGGGCCATGCTGGTAAAGAGCCTCTCTGCATTTCCCTAAGCTACACCTTGCATAAGGCATATTCACTACTGACCTTTCCAGCTTAGAGGCCTCTTAGAGCCTGTGTTCTGCTGTTACAGCTTTTAAGAATGCAAGGTCATGTCTAACAGTGATGTGGCACTGGCATGGGACTTCAATGCTTTTATGGAAAACACAAGGAAGAATAACTGTGGAGGGAATATTAGCAGTGAGTTTTGCCATACCAGGCAATCCCATCCTCTCTTTTAAGAAAAAAATACTTTGTAATATAGTAGATAGTGCTTACCTTATCAGTTTTTACATATGCCCCAAATTAGCAGTTAAAAGGAGGAGTATTTTAGTTGAACTTCTGAACAGTTCTTAGAAACTGACTCCCAAACTATTTAACCTATGGTTCTAGGTCCTAAGTGTTGCTCCAATGGTAATAAAAATTCTCAAATAGATGAGACATACTCTGTTAAGGTTCCTTCTATTTGAAATCAGCAACAGTTGAATATGTAGTTTAGAGGAATTATTTTTGGCCAAATGCAGAATTACATCATTTCAGAAGATAGGAAGAATCCTTTAAAAAAAAAACTTACTTCAAAATAGTCACTAATTTTGAGGCCACGTCCCCCAATACTTTTTCCTAAAAAAAAAAAAAGGAAGGAAGGAAAAAAGGAAAAAGTGTCACATATTTAAAACACAAAGATAATGACGACTACATGATTATTTTGTCAGAAAGGTGAACTTGTTGGGATTTGATTTCTAAAGAAATTAATAAAACCTTCATTGAATATGAGCACTTGCTGCTTCATTTAGTTGGTGTTGGGAGTGTGGGGGGAAAAGTAGAGTACATTAGTAAAAACAAAACAAAACTTCTCAGTTCTGTTGTTGTTTTTTTGGCTAGACAATGGGGTTAAGTGACTTGCCCAGAATCACACGGCTAGTAAGTGTTATGTGTCTGAGTCCAGATTTGAACACAGGTCCTCCTGAATCCAGGGCCGGTGCTCTATACACTGTGCCACCTAGCTGCCCCTAAAATTTCTCAGTTGTGAAGGAACCAGATTCTACTTTGAGAATTCCAAATAATGATGGCAGGACTTCTAAATGATAAATGGCATATTTTAGTAGAAGCATGTCAATTAAAGTAATTGTTCCAATTATTGGAGGTTCACATAAACACATGATGTTAAGAGATTAAATTCTATTACACTAATTGCTTAAAAAATAAGCACTGAGCAAATTAGCATGTTATAAAACTACAATTAATTCACACTGGTTTACAGCTTCTAATTGTTCATAAAAGCAGATCAGAGTGAACAAAAGGCACAAGTAGCAACTTTATACCAACAAACTAATTCGTACCTGTAAATTATAATAAAAAAGCTCTGTTAAAGAGACATATCTATGCTCTGCCAAAGAACTAAAAGGTGCTTAAATACCAAGACTGTTTTGCACATAGATATTTTGGCTTTTTAAAAACATTCTAAATTGTGGGTTATTTTGTACATAAACAAAGTTTAAATGTGGTTCCCATAAGTAAGCTATGATGATAGTATACGAATTATTAACAAAATATAGCAAGAGCTCTATTAGTTCATGAAAAACATTCTTCTGAAATGTACAGTCAGTACTACTATACTAAAGTAAAATGTAATTTCTGCAGGAAGATGGGAGATTTTAAAAACACTTCTATTAATTCAACATTTTTGATTCCCAAGTCATATCTAAAGATACACATCATATAAACCTGTGTGGGAGGGGGGCAGTGTCTAACAAGGGCAGTACATAATACCTCTATGCTCTGGTCTCTAAAGTTACATAATGGAGCTAATGCCAACCTGCCATCCATTCATTTTATAGTTTTGTAACTCCAGCAAAATTTACTAATAAAAAAAAAGTACTCATAAGAATGAGGAATTTGTAAAGTACTTTCAATTTGACTAAAATTTCCTAACTAAAATATTTTCAGTCATCCTGAGTTACCAAAATCAGATATTTCCATCCCACAAAGAACACATTTTCAGATTTAAATTTTTAGATTTAAACAAATCTTAACTAGGATAAAAATGTTTCAAGATGAGATTTTGTTTAGCACTTTTTATCCATTTAAGAGTATAATACTGACATTTATATTCTACTCATCCCAATAATAATTTTTATTTTATGAAATGGTATCTAATAAATCTAAAATGTAAATAATAAAATTTGTTATTAATTTATATTTATAAATTATAAAATTATTATTTATATTTGTAAATATTTGTTATTTAAAATAAATCTAAAATCTAAAAAATATGGTTTTAAGTACTTATAAAATTTTTAAAATACTAAACATATGAAAACATCACATAAAAATCAAATTTTTCTTAAGACATACTCTATACTTTCAACTTTTGATTATTGTGATTATTTATTTTGTCTACATTACAAAAAAAAAATCAACATGAAATAAGAATGTGGATATTCTGAAATTGTTAATATAAAATGCTTGCTACTTCTGCAAAGAAATTCAATAGGATATAATTTGCCACTGCTGAAAGTACAGCTTTTTCTGTTTGGGGAAATACAACAAATATAGAATCCTAGAATGGTTGGAAAATATTCAAGATACTGGAACGTTTTTCCTATGAGCCAGTAAGTATATCAAGTTTAATAGAAGAAACAAATAGAGCCTATGCGTTGTTAACTTGCCCTAATGCTAATATTATATTATGCAGAATCTGCAAGAGACATTAATGTAATACTTTCACACATACAAGATAATTGAGGTAGACAGACGTTACTCAGGGGATGATACAGACTTTCTAGAGATAGGTCCTTATTCAATAACTCCTCAAACCAGAATACAGAGGAGTCTCAGAGAAGGTTAAACTAGAGAAACTCCGCTATGGTCTGTACTACTTACCACTTTCCAGTAAGTATCTTTCCTCTTTTAAATTTAACTTTCATTGACAAGGCAAACATGCCTCCTAATTACAAAAGTCCAGTTGGTTTCCCTGTCTCTCCACTCTCCAATCCTTTTCTACACAGTTGCCAAATTGGTATCTCTAAAGCACAGGTCCAGTGGCTCCCTACTGCCCCTAGGGTAAAATAGAAACTCTTGTCCTTGACATTTTCCAATCACTACCTAGGCTCCAGCCTACCTTCACAAACATACTGGATATTACTTCCTTTCACTCACTCTATCTTGCAGCCAAACTGGCTTCGCTACTGTACCCAACAGATGACATTCCATCTCTTGTCACGGTGCCTTTTCATAGGCACCAATATCTGAAATGCATTTTGCCCTGTCCCTGCAAGAACATCTGATGGGCCACTCCTTACCAGGAGGCTGTTCCCAATACCCATCTTGCAAAACTATTTAATATTTGTGTAAATGAACACATCATAGTTTTCCATAATATAAGCTCCTTGAGGGCAGGATTTCATTTTTCTCTTTCTATTCCTAGGCTCACAAATAGTTAAGTGCTTAATAAATGCTTGTCAAATTAGATTGTTAAGAAAAACAAGCATGCAAACTGAAATATATGAATAAAACAAGAGACTGAAAATTATTTTACATGATTCCATAAACTTCCACTAGCAGATATCATTAAACGTCCAATTATCACTGAATAAGGACCAGTACAACTAAAGGGAATTAAACCACTGCAAATAAGGAGAATGAAGTTAGGTATATAGAAAACCATCTCATACCAAGTCTAATGCTCCAAGGGGCAGCTAGGGAAATACAGTGGGTAAAAGTGCTAGACTCCGAATCAGGAAGACCAAAGTTCAAATCTCACCTCAGACACTTACTAGCTGTGTGACCCTAGGCAAATCATTTAACCTCTGTGGTATTCCTCATCTGAAAATGGGGATGATAATAAAAGTACTTGCCTCCCAGGATTCAGTTAAGGAACAAAATGAGATGACATGTATACAGTACTTTACAAACAGAAGAGCACTTATAGAAATGTTTTTATTAACATTAATAAGAAACGCAGTTCTTGAATAGTGTTCTGAGAACAATCTCATCAAGAAGTTGGATAATTAATGTTGCTACTACCTAATTTCAATGACAAATATGCACAGTGAGCTAACAGTACATTGAGATTTGGACTCTAGACACAAAGAACATTATCTGACTATGATTTAAGGACCAATTTATATTTTGAGTTCAGTACTGGAAATTTTTTGTCTAAAGAAATAGAGTCCTAAAGTCACATTGAAAAAAGCTGAAGTAGAAGAAAAGCTAGAACTGGTTTAAGGAAAATAAAATAGATCTTTCAGGATTTTAAAATAGTCATTAAATATCTGGATTTTCCTGAGGAAAAGGATATCAAAAATAATTAAGGGAAACAATTTTGGTGGTGTTGTTTTCTTTAATTAAGAACTACAAATTTCCCTTAAGTAACAGCCAAGTACCAATTTATTTGATGAAGATAAGACTCCAATTTTAAGTTATTAGTTAATCTCATTTCTCTAGCCTTTAAGACAAGATCATTATGAGGAAGTAACTAACAATTTATTACTATGGAGATCAGATAATAGGTACAATTAACAAGTATTTATTAAATATTTTCTATAAGCCAGACATTGTGCTAGAGATTGAGGATACAAATACAATTAATGAAACAATTCTTACTTGCTAAAAATTTACATCTTAGTGATGGCAACAAATACATCTATAAGTATATACAGAATAAATATAAAGTAGTTTCAGAAGAAAAGTACTAGCAGTTGAGGCGCTAGGAAAAGTGATTGAATGGCATTTTGAATGAAGAAAGAGATCCTACCAGGTAGAGGAAAGCTCAGAGTACATTCCATTTAAATGATCAGTGCACAGGTACAGACATGGGAGTTATGTTTAGCTGAATCATAGAGTATGGGAGTACAAGTAATATATAAGGATGGAAAATAAAAAGTTGTGAAGGGTTTGAAAACTAAAAAGAATAGTTCATACCTTATTCTAGAAGCAATGAGAAGCCAGTGTAATCTGAGTTGGAGAATAACTCTGTGCACTTTTGCACAGAGTGGGGAAAATGGAATAAAGGTATAAAGATATTGGAGGCAGGAAGACCAAGTAGGAAGCCACTGCAATAATCTACAAAACAGGTAATGAGGGCATGAATTAACGTGGTAGCTATGTGAACAGAAATAAGGAGTCAGAAGCAAGAAATATTGTGGAGGTAGAAATGGCAAGATTTGACAACTGCTTAGTTACGTGTGGTAAAGGAGATGAGGAGTTATGGTTAAAGCCAATGTTACAAACCTGGGAGACTGGAAGAACAGTAGGTGAAGAGTGGAAAATAAAGAGTTTTATTTTGAGCGTGCTAAGTTTGAGATATTGGGACATCTGGCTTGAAATGTTCAACAGGAAATTGGTAATGAAGGACTGAAGCTCAAGGAAGTGACGAGAGCTAGAATATAGAAAAGTCATAATCACAGAGATTGTAATTAAACAAATGAGAGTTGATAAAGTTACCAAAAGAGAAAGAAACACTCAGGACGAGTCTTGGTGAACACCTACAATTTCAGAGGTATAATATGGATGATGAGACAGCAAGAGATAGAGAAAGTCTATTTAGATAGAAGGAGAAACAGGAGAAAGTGGTGCCACAACAGCCCAGGGAAAAGAGCATTTTCAGGAAAGGGTGACTGAAAAGGATGAGAACTAAAAAAGAACATTAGATTTGGCATTTAAGGGATCCTTGGTAACTGGAGAGAGCAGCTTCAGCCCAATGATGTGGCTGGAAACCAGGTTGCATTGGATTAGGAAGTGAAATAAGAGGAAAAGAGAAAAAAGTCAAAAGGAGAGGAGAGGAAGAGAAAAGTGAGAAGGGAAAAGAGAAGAGAGAAGTGAGAGAGGAGAAAGAATGAAATATGATAAAGCCAGAAAGGGATGGGATCAAGGGCACATGTAGGAAGGTTGGCCTCAGCAAGCATAAGGGTTACCTCATTGTGAGAAAGGAAGGGAAAGTAAGAGGAAATAGGGATGATAAGGAGTTGTGATATGAAGAAGAAAAGAAGGATCTCCTGTCAAAAAACTTTAATTTCTAAAGCTAGGTCCTCAGCTAAGAAAGAAGGGGGAGGGGAAGATGTGGAAGGCTTGAGCAAAGAAGATATAACGTGGAAATGCTTGTGTGGGAAATGAGACAGGGAATCAACTAAGGAGTAATAAAAAGAGTGTCTCACTTTAACGAAGGCCCAGGTCTAGTTGGATGACATAAATTTATACTGTACCACATCAGCACGGTGTGACTTTCTCTAACGCAATTTAGTAGTGGAGCAGAAGAGATATACAGTGGGAATAATCAGAGCAGATGTTTGGCAAGGGATGAATGATGATAAAAAAAGGAAGCAAGGGATTCAATAGTAGAGGACAATATAGAGTTTAATTGGGTAACAAGACTGGGAAAGAAGGGAAGTGAAATCTGAGCAGGGCAAATGGCCTGACAAAGTACCCTTTCTTGACAATGTGTGTGAAAAAGGTCTCATATGCTAAAATAAGAAAAAGCAGCTTCAGAGCTACACAAGAATAAAACTATTACTAGTTCTAAAAACAAAATCTTAAAGAGAACATTTTACAACAACAAGTTTCCAAAGTTATTAATAACAAATACTTATTCGGTTCTCAAAGATCATTGTTTAACTCACCCTGACTGCTTTCACTTTGGTTTTCTGCTTTCCTCTTTCTTCCTCTGGATGGCTCTGACTGTTTCTTCTCTGGAGTCTACAAAAACAAACAAAACAAAACAAAAACAAACAGTTAACAGAATGATAAGTTATTTTTGTGATGTAGTTATATCTTGAGTAATATAACATTTTAGTACAAAAATGTTTCTATTCAGTAGTAGTGTTGTTACATTTTTTTAATCCTAGTTTATCATTGTCATCTGCTATTCTAAGATTAATTTTTCATTATAAAAATTAAGGTACAAATTCTGAATATAGAAAAATGTATTTAGACTTAAAATAGACTTCCTCAGGTAGACCAAATGGTATAAGAATAAAAAAGTCTTCAGAAGTACCTAAAACAAAACATTCTTATTTTGTCTTTTAAAACCTATTCTTTTTCTCCCCAAAACTTTTTATTCTCTCCTCCCCTACCAATACTTAAATATGGGACAAAACCTTTGGTCATTTCGAAATAACTTGGGGACAAGATACAGCTCCTACTGGAAGATTACCATCTGGGCAACAGTGCTAGACTGAAGAGAAAGGAGAAAGTGACAATAAAAATAAATTGTTAGAGTTCTTCTGAAGGGTAAAAGCTGGAGAGTAATAATGTGACTATCACATTTTCAGTGGGAAAGGTCTGAGGAACCAACAAAGTGAACAGATTAACTAGAAGTCATAAGATTAAACTAGAAAAAGAGGTAGGGGTGGGAAGGATCACTAGGTACTCCAGTTTGTTCTATTTTGTAGCAATTAATTTTTCTATTCCCTCCTGGACCACTGCCCTGTCTCAATGAAATTATGAGCTATGTCATGTAGGGTTACCCAAGACAGACAGGTCATAGTGGAGAATTCTGACAAAAGGTGATCCACTAGAGAAGGAAATGGTAAACCACTCCATTATCCTTGCCAAGAAAACCCCACGGACAGTATTAAATGATAAAAGATATGACATGGGAAGACAAGCCCCTCAGGTTGGAAGGTACCCAACATGTTACTGGTAAAGAGTGGAGGATAACTATAAGTAGCTCCAGAAAGAAGCTCAACTGTAGATGTCTGGTGATGAAAGGAAAGTCCAATGCTATAAAGAACAATACTGCATAGGAACCTGGAATATAAGATCTATGAACCAAGGTAAGCTAGATGTGGTCAAACAGGAGATGGAAAGATTAAACATTGACAACCTGGGTGTCAGTGAACTTAAATGCATTGGAAAGGTTGAGTTTAATTCAGATGATCACTACATATACTACTGTGGGCAAGAATCCCTCAGAAGAAATGGAGTAGCCTTCAGACAACAAAAGGGTAAAAAAAGCAGTAGTAGGTTACGTATAATATCAAAAATGACAAAATGATATCTGTACAAATCCAAGGCAAACCATTTAATATCACAATGATACAAGTATACGCTCCAACTACTGAGGCCAAAGAGGCCAAAGTTGATCAATTCTATGAAGACTTACAACATCTTCTGGAAGTATCACCAAAAAAAAAGATCTCACATTCTTCATAGGGGATCGGAATGCTAAAGTAGAAATCAAAAGGTAATTGAAATAACAGGCAAGTTTGACCTTGGACTACAAAATAAAGCAAGGCAGAGACTAACAGAGGTTATCAAGATAACTTGCTGGCCACAGCAAACATTTTTTCAACAACCCAAAAGGCGACTCTACACATGGACATCACTAGATGGTCAATATTTAAATCAGATTGATTACATACTTTGCAGCCAAAAGTGGAGAAGCTCTATACAGTCTGTTAAAACAAGACACTGCAAAATTCAGACAAACTGGAGAAAATAGGGAAACTCACCAGACCATGTAGGCACGATCTAAATAACATCCCTTATGAATATGAAGTGGAAGTGATGAATAGATTTAAGGGATTAGATCTGGTAGACAGAGTACCTAAAGAACTACGGATAGAGGTTAAAATACTGTACAGGAGGCAGAAACAAAAAATGTTCCAAAGAAAGCAAAATGGCTCTCTGATGCAGCTTTACAAATAGCTGAGGAAAGAAGGAAAGTGAAAGGTAAAGGAGAAAGAGAAAGACATACCCATCTGAATGCAAAATTCCAGAGAATAACAAGGAACGATAAGGTTTTTTTTAACCAGCAATGTAGAGAAATAGAAGAAAACAATAGAATAGGAAAGAAGAGATCTCTCCAAGAAAATTAGAGATATCAAAGGAATGTTTCATGCAAAAATGGGCATGATAAAAGACAAAAATGGTAGGGACTTAACAGAAGCAGAGATTAGGAAGAGGTAGCAAGAATACACAGAACTATACAAGAAATATCTTAACATCACCAATAACTACAATAGTGTGGTTACTGATCTAGAGTAAGGCATCTTGGAGAATTAAGTCAAGTGGGCCTTAGGAAGCATTGCTAACAATAAGGATAGTGGAAGTGATGGAATTCCAGCTGAGCTATTTAAAAGCCTAAAAGATGATGCTGTTAAAATGTTGTATTCAATATACCAGCAAATTTGGAAAACTCAACAGTGTACACTGGATTGGAAAAGATCAGTTTATGTCTCAATACTAAAGAAGGGCAATGCCAAGGAATGTTCAAATTACCTAACAACTGTTCTCATTTCACATGCCTTGAGCAAGGTTATGCTTAAGATTCTGCAAACTAAGGCTTCAGCAACATATGAACCAAGAATTACCAGAAGTGTAGGCTAATTTTTGAAGCAGCAGAGGAACAAGAGACCAAATTGCCAATATTTGCTAGATTATGGAGAACTTTCTATTTCTGCTTTATTGACTACACTAAAATCTTTGACTAAGTGGATCACAACAAAATGTGGCACGTCCTCAAAAAGATGAGAATACCAGATCATCTTACTTGTCTCCTGAGGAACCTGTATGTGGGTTAAGAAGCAACAGTTAGAACCAAACATGGAACAACTGACCGGTTTAAGATGGGAAAAGGAGTACAACAAAGCTGTATGCTGTCACCTTATTTATTTAACTTATTTGCAGAGTACAACATGTGAAATGCCAGGCTGGATGAATCAAAAGCTGGAATTAAAGCTGGCAGGAGAAATGTCAATAATCTTAGATAGGCAGATGATGCCATTCTAATGGCAGTAAGCGAAGAAGAATTAAGAAGCCTCTTGATGAGGGTGAAAGAAGACAGCGTAAAAGGAGCAGCTAGGTGGTGCAGTAGATAGAGCTCTGGTCTTGGAGTCAGGAAGACTTGAGTTCAAATCCTGCCTCAGACACTTGGCACTTACTAGCTGTGTGACCCTGGGCAAGTCACTTAACCCTGAATGCCTCACCAGAAAAAAAAGAAAAGAAAAGAAAAAAGAGGGAAAAAAAGGTGGCTTGAAAATTAACATTAAAAAAAAAAAAGATCATGGCAACTGGTCCCATCATTTCCTGGCAAACAGAGGGAGAAGAAATGGAAGCAGGGTCAGATTTTATAATCTTGGACTCAAAGATCACTGCAGATCACAACATCTGCTGCCATGCAATTAAAAGATGCTTGCTCCTTAGAAGGAAAGCTATAGTAACTCTAGACAGCATACTAAAAAGCAAAGACATCACCTTGATGACAAAGGTGCATATAGTCAAAGCTATGGTTTTTTGAATAATGATGTATGGTTGTGAGAGCTGGACTACAAAGAAAGCTGAATGTTGCAAAATTGATGCTTTTAAACTTGTGGTACTGGAGACTTTTGAGAGTTCCTTGGATAATAAGGAGATCAAATCAGTCAATCCTTAACTGATTGGAAGAACAAATACTGATGCCGAAGCTTAAATACTTTAGCCACAGATGATAAGACAATTCATTGGAAAAGACCCTGATGTTGGGAAAAATTGAAGGCAAAAGGAAAAGAGGATGACAGAGGATGTGATGGATAGATAGTATCATGGAAGCAATGAATATGAGGTTGGACAGACTTCGAGAGACAGTGGAGTAAATAAGGGCCTGGCATGCTACAGTCTACACAAAGAATATGACACAACTGAACAAATAAATAACAATTTTCCCATTGGCATCCATTTATATACAGAAAGTTAGGCATACAGATACACATAAATATGGATATGTTTTTTCTGAATAAATCTGAATATTCAAATAAATGTTTCCCCAAATTGTTATTTCCTTCTTTTAAAATTCTGATCATATACATGATGTTATTTTGACTTGGTCACTTCAGCTCTCTGGGTCTGTTTTTATATCTGTAAAAGGAAGGAATTGACCAAAATGATCCCTAAAATGCAACCAAGTCTAAAATTTTATAATTCTAACTGAACTCTAAAATCTCTGTAGTTGCTTATTTTTCATTACGATCTACCTAAATTTTAAAAATTTTACTGCTCCCAAAAGGTGATACCTTCAAAAGGTAATTAAAATCAAAAGTACTAAAAGAAAATAGACAGCAAGCATTCTCAACCTAATTCCATTTCTGAAATGTCACAAAATTCTTTAGCAGGAGTTCTTAACATGCTAGGATTAAGATTTCAGGAAGCCCATGAATTTGGATGAGAAAAAAATTAAATCTTTATTTTCACTACTTTTTGGTTTCCATTATAATCCTATGTATTTTCTTGTATGCACTTAAAATATTATTTTGAGAATAGGAGTGCATAGCCTTTACCAAAGGGGTCTGATACTTTGATTCACTTAAAAAGTGAATTCTATCACTAATAAGGGTAAGTAAGGTCTTTTAAAAATAGTAAAGTAGGTCTGTCACTAAAAAAAAAGGTGTAACTTTTATAATTATTTTACAGATAGCAATAAATATTATTTTAAGTGATGGCTTTAAAATACTCCAGTACCTATGCTTTAAGTTTGTATCTGACTTGTAACTCCACCATTCACATTCATATTGACCTATTAGAGGGCAGAAGTATAGGTAATTCTGTTTAAAGTAACAAATGCCATGAAATAAGCCTGTTGTTAAAAGTTGCCTACAAAATTAATTTTTATCAATTTCACAATATTTCCATTGACCTACATTGTGATTTAAAAATACTTTATCAATTCATTTGGCAATGGTTCCTCAATAATTTAGTTTTAAATTAATCTTTAATGTTCC